GGTGGCACGGCACGCGCAGAAGACAACAGGCTACCGGCTCCTGATCTTCAAGAAGTTAAGGAGGAGATCGGTCGGCTGAAGAACAACAAAGCAACTGGTGTAGATCAACTACCAAGTGAGCTATTAAAATACGGTGGTGAAGCACTGGCTAGAGCGCTGCACTGGGTAATTGCCAAGATTTGTGAGGAGGAGATATTACCGGAGGAGTGGATGGAAGGTGCCGTATGCCCAATCTACAAAAAGGGCGACAAGTTGGATTGCTGCAACTACCGTGCGATCACACTGCTGAGCGCCGCCTACAAGGTACTCTCCCAAATTCTATGCCGCCGCCTGTCACCATTTGCAAGAGAGTTCGTGGGGCAATACCAGACGGGATTCATGGGTGCCCGCGCTACCACGGACCAAATTTTCGCGATTCGGCAGGTTCTGCAGAAATGCCGCGAATACAACGTGCCCACACATCATTTGTTCATCGATTTCAAATCCGCATACGACACAATCGATCGAGATCAGCTATGGCAGATTATGCACGAGTACGGATTTCCGGATAAACTGACGCGATTGGTCAAGGCGACGATGGATCGAGTGATGTGCGTTGTTCGAGTATCGGGGACACTCTCGAGTCCCTTTGAATCTCGAAGGGGGTTACGGCAAGGTGATGGGCTTTCGTGTCTGCTATTCAACATCGCGTTAGAAGGTGCGGTCAGAAGAGCTGGGATAGACACGAGCGGCACGATCTTCAGGAAGTCCATCCAGCTTCTTGGCTTAGCCGATGACATTGACATCATGGCACGGAACTTTGAGACGATGGCGGAAACGTCCATCAGACTGAAGGCTGAAGGCTAGGCTGATTGGACTTGCCATCAACGCATCAAAGACAAAATACATGAAAGGAAGAGGTTCTAGGGAAGACAATGTTAGCCTTCCACCCCGACTTCAGATTGACGGTGACGAAATCGAGGTGGTCGATGAGCTCGTGTATTTGGGCTCACTGGTGACCGCCGAAAATGATACCAGCAGAAAAATTCAAAGACGCATTATGGCAGAGAATCGTGCCTACTTTGGACTCCGGAGGACGCTCCGCTCGCGCCGCCGCAGGAAGTTGACTGTCTACAAGACACTGATTAGACCGGTGGTCCTCTACGGCCACGAGACCTGGACTATGCTCGTGGAGGACCAACGCACCCTTGGTGTTTTCGAACGGAAGGTGTTGCGTACCATCTACGGTGGAGTGCAGATGGATGACGGAAAGTGGAGGAGGCGAATGAGTCACGAAATGCACCAACTGCTGGGAGAACCATCCATCGTCCACATTGCAAAAATTGGGCGACTACGGTGGGCTGGGCACGTCGTAAGAATGCCGCACGATGACCCAGTGAAAATGGTTCTAGAAAGCGACCCAACAGGAAGAAGAAGAAGAGCCGCGCAGCGGGCAAGATGGATCGACCAAGTAGAAGGCAACCTGCGGACCCTTCGCAGACTACGCGGCTGGCGAAGTGTGGCCATGGATCGAGTAGAGTGGAGACGACTTCTTCGGACAGCAGAGGACAACAAGGCCTTAGCCTGATTGGTAAGGTAAGTACACTCACCAGGTGGCGCTCGTGTCACAGTAATTTTGAATTGATTGTCGTAGCTTAACACATTGATTAGACAGAAGTCCCGTATTGAACGAAGTGTTCAGATAGACTAGACTTATTCTATGGTAAACAGTTAAGCTCAGAATAAACTCATCAGTTCGCACTGTTGCTTCACGTAGTTTCGAGTGTTTTGGTTGCACTTGACAGCTTGCCAAGATATAAGCTTTATGTTGCTGCCAAAGTTTTTAAGATGAACTACAAAAATTATATGGTAGGGAAGAGCGCTACTTCGTCGTAATCGCCCATTTCCGTTCTATCGATCAAAAAAGATCAATAATATCAATGATTTCACCGTGCACAAATCAATAATAGGTTTGATCCGATGCGTTAGTTCATTAGCTATAACATAAATCCTGTTAGAGCGCATTGTATTAATATTTACGCTCATTGTTCTCAAAACAAAAGAAGCGCTCCTAGCTAATCCCCCTTTTCTACGTTTATCCGTAGGACGAAGAAAATCTAATGGCGTTTCAATGCGTTTGGACGGAATTGAAACGCCTAGGACGAATTTAGAAGCAAGAAGCAGTGTTAGATTTTTAATAATATCTCAACATTGTTTGACTCTTTATCAAATCCAACGGTACGTATGGAAAGGTGGATACATTTAGAAATTTTCTTTGATGAAAACATTCCATGTTTTGTTCAAACCCTTTCCAAAAAGCGTGGTAAAGTGCGGGATGTCCTTAGTAGGACGGAAATTAGAACAAAAACCCTAATCATCATAGTTTAGAATTCACTCCCCAGTGTTCGCTAGAGGTTAACTTTGTTTATATTTTTGCTTTTATTTGACATTTTAACTCATAAGAATGTCTTCAGCAATCTTGGTCAGAAACAAATAATATATTAGTTGCCTAATCTGTTCAGAAGATACGCAATTTAATTTTAGCTATTGTTTATTTAAAAATGTTTTCTCAAAAATAAGATAAGGTTCATATCAGTTACTTTTGATCATCAATAGTTCATCTGATCAACTTTATCGAAGAGGGAAACCTTCAATCTAGTCCATATGTAAAGTTAGGGCAAACAATGAAAAAATGATGTCACACTAGCACTACATGGAGAGTAAATTCTGAACAAAACTCTACGTTAGGATAGATCTTGACCATCTGAACAACTTTACCGAAGATGGAAACCTTCCATCTAGTCCATCTGAGGGCAAACAATTCAAAAAGTATGTCACACTAGCGCTGCCTTATGAGTGAATTCTGGGCTACTCTCTTGACCTTAGGATGACTATTGCCCATCTGAACAACTTTACTGAAGACGGAAAACCTTCTACCTAGTCCATATGTTAAGTTAGGGCAAACAATCGTGAGTTAGTTCTGAGCTTAACGGTTTACGATAATATATGTCTTGTCCATCTGAACAACTTTGCCGAAGAAGGGAACCTTCTATCTAATCCATATGCTAAGTAAGGGCAAACCATTCAAAATGAATGTCACACTAGCACTGCCTGGTGAGTGACATATGAGCTAAACTCTTTGCCTTAGGATAGGTCCTGTCCTTCTGAACAACTTTACCAAAGACGGAAAGCCTTCTATCTAGTCAAGTTATTAAGCTAGGGCAAACAATTCAAAATTAATGTCGCATCAGCACCGCCTGGTGAGTGAATTATGAACTAAACTTTGTTCCTTATTGTAGGTCTTGTCCATCTGAACAACTTTGTTGAAGACGAGAACCATCCATATGAGCAAGATCTGTATATTTTTGTATATCCACCCCTTAAAATAAACTTCGATAATTTAAACTGAAATAAAATTAAATAGGGGAAATGCAGGTAATGTCGGCCTAAGTGTCCCTAATTTGGGCCCATACATAAATTCAGCAATCGACTAAATTTTCAATAGCAACCAAAAATATCCATTAGTAACGTCCCAATAACGCGTTCATCTAGATAAAATTGATAAATAGCAGGGTTTTAGCGATGGGCCCAATCTTAGATCCATAGGCCAACATTAGAGACATTTCCCATATATAAAACATTTTAAATTTTAAAAATCTATTGAAACTTCGTTGATGATACGTGGCAAATTGAATTTGGGGTCAAATTGACCCCAAGGTACAGAAACCGTAAGGTTTTTTTTTGACACAGACGAAGGGTTAACATAACCTTGTTTTATCCTAATAATAAACTGTGCTTATACTTTCTTGGGACACCCTATATTGGAAGAAACACACTTTTAGGAGAAAATGGAGCATCACTTAACCTTTATAGCTTTGATGATTCCAACGACCAACCAATCATATAATTACCAAAATCGGAACGTATGGTACGAGATGACCACGTTTCATCCATTTATTGAATTCTGAAGCATCGTGTTTAAATCATCGATTTGTGTTGGTGTTAGATTAGATTAGATTAGAAAACTATAAAATATTAGACCCGTATTTCAAACATCAAAATATCCGGCTTGGTAATGGTGTGCCTTAACAAACTAGGTACTTCTCTGTAATTAAATCCATAAGTGTATCCAAACAAGGTTGACAGTGTATTTTAAATAATGGTCAAACCTTCAATCACCAAGTGCCATCCTGACTGCCTTCTCCCGACAGTTTTGTTTGGCCATTTTATCGAATCCAATTAGAAACCAGCACTTTCATGACTATACCCTAAATTAATAGACCACTAGCGGTTAGCAGGTAACGACCCGCAAATGGCCACCCATAAAACAACAGTACATATTACGATAACATCTGTGACCTTCCAGAAAGGAGCTGTGGAGGTTGAATGTATCCCTACCATGGCGTATTTTCCGAATCAACTATTAAACAGAAGACATTAACATCAAGGAAGGAAGCAAAAGCGATGAAACGTTTGTTACCAACCAACGCAAGCTTTGCATCTAATGATGAGTGATGGCAAAAACTAGCTGTGCTAGGATACGCTCGACGTTACCTTGACTTCTGAGTTGCAATCAAGCAATGGAAGCTGTGCTGCAATTTCAGTAGATGAAACAGATTCGATGTGGAAAGGATGGTGCGAAATACACACGCAGAAATTGTTGTTGCTCGCTCGCGAGAGAAGATGTGTACATGTAACATAACCTCAAATAGGTCAAAATCCTTGAATGAAGAATGGCTGCGAAGGGAATAAAGGCGCTGCAGGCCACAGCAGCCTCGGAACTAGTAAATAAGCATAAATTTTCATCATAGTTTCCGGGCGGAAGAGGATTTGCGCTTTCCGGGATATAAATTCCCTCCGCAGGGAAACCACCCCCCCATTGGTAGCTGGATTGTAGGTCATTAGTGTGGGTAGTTTTTTTCCTCTCTTTAGAACACGAATCTCGTGTATTGCTCTAATGGCTAGACCATGTTCTGTTCTAATGGACTGAGGAAGGCATTTTCCCAACGATGTAGTCTTACCAGTTCGGAGGCTAGGTACAAGTCTTTCCTAAACGTCAGCCCGAGCACGTCCAAATCCTCGCGCCCATATCGGAAGGCGGCCAGTACGTGTCCGAAAACTTTACGATCTTTCACGTAGTCCGGATCTATCAGTACGACGCCATCTGAAAAAAAAAACGAAACGAAGGAATTATTAGCCTATCATCGATGAACAATAAACACAGAAACTCACCTATGGGATCGACGTGCGTTATGTGGTCCACGAAGTCACGTTTTCCTAGGTAGACTGTTATTTTCCCATTGGAGGAGCTCTTTTTGAATACCCTGGAAGGATGGAGAGAAACGAACAACAATTTTATCAGAAATTATATTTTCCACGAACAATACCTAAATGACAAAAAATAAATTAGATTTGCGACGGTAGTAATTAAGGATATGTGCACCACGCGTGCACACCGCATGCTAGTAGAGGATACCGAGCGGTGGCTATTCAGAATAATTAAGGATAATTGCGCCGCATCAGGCTACGAGTCGTCGTCGTCGTCATCGTCGGCGGTCGTCATTCGCTGGGGAAGCACATTCAATCTGACGGTGAGATCAGTAACTACTATGTATCTATGTTGGTTACTACCAACTTGCAGTGAGTGTAACTGTAATCTATGTAGATCTTCACCGAAGACTAGCATGATAGAGGCGGCGCAACAAGTGATGAACGTTGGTGGCTCGTTTGCGACTGACTATATGGTAATGGTTTTGCTGCATGCTGTTCATTTTTCAGTTCTTTGGACAGGATGAGGATGTAGATGGTTTCATCTTCATCGGTAGAAATGGGAGTTTTGTGTAACCATAACGATAACGGTTACAGTCTCGCTGTGTATACACGTCACGACGTTGTGGTTTGCGGATCGTTCGTTGTTATTACGGAGTAGATTGCGATACGAGATTACATGTAATTGAGGATGACAATGGCCCCGCTTGTTGTAGATGCTGGGTAAGGTCACATAGCTAGACTATGTGCGTTTCATGAAGTTGATGATAGGTTTAAATTTTTCAAGGTTCCAGAGTGTCTAACATACTTAAATTAGTAAATTTATATTGATTCAATCTGAGAAGTTTTACATAAATGAGTATTAAACTACCCTCGCCCGCGGAATGGAATTTCCGTTTTGAAATTCCAGCACAGAAAAAAAATCTGAATTTTACTGGTGATGTAAACATCGATGCATGCAATCATTCATGCATGTAAACTTCCTTTTCACGTAAGCAACTTGCAGGAAATGTTGCTTACAAAGATGGACAGTTGCATACAATATATGGAATATTTCATGTTATGTCTCATAAATTTACACGATCTATGCTGTAATCTATAGGAGAAATGGCTCTAACGCGTCATTGGGACGATACTAATGGATATTTTTGGTTACTTTTGAAAATTTAGTCGATTGCTAAATTTATGTATGGGCCCAAATTAGGGGAATTTAGGCCGACAATTTACTCTATTTTTTTTACTGTGCGCATTTTTCCAGATATAAATCTTATTTATTTCCCGATTACAAAAGTGACTAGGTGCAATTTTCTGGTTGCAGGGTGACCAGTGAATTTTCATTTTGAAATTCCCGGTTTTCCCGGCTCAAATCTTTAAAAAATCCCGGTTGCGAAATTGAACGCATTTTTAAGAACGTGCAGAAAGGAATTTACTGAAAAGATAAAAAAAAAGTGATTTAAGAAGATTCCCAAGATTCTAAAGCTTTAAAATTTGTGTAGAGTCTGAAACTAGAATTTTTATTTTAAATTTGTGATTAATAACAATCTTCCTCATGCAAGATTTGGAGTAAAAATTATTAAATTTCAAGATCAGAGATTTGAAAAAAAAAATCATACTTATGAGTCGTGGAGTCATAATTGTCACGCTCTGAGACTTGCAAGCATTTTAAGGGTTATAAAATACAGTAATGTCCCGATTTTATCAGCCCCCTTTTTTGAAAATGTTTTCCAATGCCCATGTCCTTTTTCAGTCATCTTATTGCACCTATTGCACCAAAGTATACTTTAAATATCCCTCTTAACGATGAATGAGAAAAATTTAGAATTATGGTTATGTGAAATTATAGAAAGGAAAAAGACTGAAGCGCGTAGGGGCTGACAAAATCGGGTTATTACTGTATTACATAACAATCTATAGAATCTAGCGGGAAAACACTGGAATTTTTAGTAAAAGTTAAAAGAATTCAAAGTGTTGATTTCCAACAAATATTGAGAAGGATTCCCACACAGTTTTCAAAGGAGAAGTTCTGAGCAGATTTCCAGAATTAATCTGACATGAAATCCTTAGAAATTGTTAGATGAATTTGGAAGGATTTCTGTGGAGAAAAATGCAAGTTCTAAATTAAATTGTTAGGTAATTTTAGAAAATTTAAAAAGGAGTTGTGGAAAACAAAACTTTTCGGAAAATCCCTACGTGTTTCTGAGGAGATTTGTATGACAGATGATGAAGAATTTCAAGAGAATTATGATAATTATTCAATAATAAGCAGAGTTCTAAGAGTGTTCTGGCAATAATTTCAACCCTAGTACGAAAGATTCATCACAGAACTCCAACAAAATTGATTGCAAAAAATTTGCTGATAATTAGAGAGAAATTCTTTAAAATACTCCAAGGGGATTCTAAATAAATTTTCGAAAGATTTCTGCTGTTTTAAATAGAGTTAAAATAAATTTTTGAAAAGATTTTCAAAGAAATAAAAGTCTCCGGATAGGCTCAAGGGAATTCTAAGAAGGATTCCAAATAAATTCTTATAAGGGATTGCAAGGAAAATTCCAAAAAGAATTCAACGGTAGTTATGACGCGGAGTGTTTTTTAGTTTATTTCAGAATAATTTCAAGATCATTCAGAACAGAATTCCAAGTTAATTCTGGAATTGATATCATGAGAATTTTGAACAACGAAAAATTAAAACCCCGAAAAAGAATAGTTTATTTTTGGTTTTTACAAATATTTGTTTCCAAAGTCCAGCATCTTCAATATTTTCTTTTAAGGACCATGCACTTTACATCTGAAATTGAGACAGCAAAAATTAATTTGCAATATTGCTGAGTTGATTCATTTCTAAAAACAATAAGACGGGAAACTGAAGAAAATTATGCAGCAAATAGAGCAAGACATTCACTTGGTAAAGGATCACTCTGTTTTAATGGTTTATTCTGAAATTCTTGTGTAAAAATTTGCTCCTATGGAATGGTTAATTTATTTTTCCCGGTTCTCTCGCTGAATGTCCGGCTTTTCCCGGTTACTTTTCAAATTCCCGGATATTTCCCGGTATTCCGGTTTTCCCGGTTTGCTGGTCATCCTGTTGTTGACATTCAATTATGAACACTTAAGGTGAAAGTGGATTGGTTTAGAATGACTCACTTCATCAATTTTTTACAAAATAATGCAGCGCTCCATCGAAAACCCATTTTCTAAGTTCAATTTTAGGACCACAATCATAGTGGTCGCTAACTTTGCTCATCAATTACACAAGTATTTCGTATGAAAGGTCATATTTCACTCACGTAGATCGTTTCAAAATATTGTTAAGAACATTTACTCCGAAGACAACATACCTGTAAAATGCATTATTTTAATGCAAACTATTTTTTGTAACGCAATTCCAATCATTAGATTTCGTTTTCCTAAGCAATCAACTGGCTTTTGCATGCATCTGTGCGTAAGCATGCTCCAGGTTGAAGAACAATGTGATGTGGAACCCTCGCACAAAACAGAGAAGCGATAGCAAGAAAAACCACCAGGATTAAGCTCGCGCGTGACGTTTTCCATTCGCAATAATTGATGCATATTGTAAGATATCTATTGGTATTTCAATTCGAAATATTTTGCGAAAATTATCGATAATTTAAAATGGATGCTATTCGGCAATGTCATCTATGCGTTATCGCAAGAAATTATGAAAGTGCTTGAAAATAAATAGTAAAACTATTTCTAAATTGAGAGTATTTCTTAGTCGTGTTGGAAACGCGTGTATTTGTGAAATAATAAAAACAATTCAAGTGTGTGTATGTGTAAGCTAATTGAAGGATACTCTATGAATGTTTCAGCCTGTGGATATATCTGCATATTTTTAAAGATAAATGGACCTATTTTAGAAATCATCCACCTGTGCAATGGCAAGCTTAATGAAATATTTTTCAAATCAAAGGTTCCTCAATTTTCACATGTTGTTTAACAAGTATTTGAGAATATTCTGCAAAAACTTCAGCCTATTTGATGACGATATTCGGTTATATCTTGGTACTTTTAAAGATAATTAGATACATTGAACTATATCTTCAAATATTGTAGAAATCATCCCCCTTTGCCATTGATCAATAAAATATTTTTTAAACCAATTTGATCTTCAAATTTATCAAGTTGTATCACAAGTATTTGAGTATATCTTGTAAAAAATTCAGCCTTTTTGATGAAGGTATTCTGATATATCTTGGTATTTTTAAAGATAATTAGATAATTCCACGAACTTCGGCATAACTTCCCTGAACTTCGGCATGAGTTCCCTGAATTTCCAAGAATTGAAATGAAAGGACTTCCCTGAACTTCGGCAGAACTTCCCTGAACTTCGGCAGAACTTCTCTGAACTTCGGCAGGAGTTCTCTGAACTTTGGTAGGACTTCCCATTAGTTCGGAAAAACTTCCCTGGACATCGGCAGAACTTCCCTGAACTTCAACAGAACTTCTCTGAATTTCCGCAGAACTTCCCTGAACTTCGGCAAGGCTTCCCTGAACTTTGGATGAACTTTCCTGAGATTCGGCAGGACTTTCGGCAGGGCTTCCCTGAACTTTATCAGGACTTCGCTGAAGTTCAGCAGGTCTTCCCTGAACTACGGCAAGACTTAGTAGCACTACCCTGAACTTGGAATCTTGGAATTGAAGTTGTCATTTCAGTAGTAGAATTATTATAATTATACAATAATATTGTATTTACGAATATGTTCAAAATTTCAATACTTCCCATTTTTCTAATTTGCAATGCTGGTTGGTATTGGTGCATTTCGAATTTGGGTGTGGTTTGAACGGGTGTGGATTCAGTATCAACGGAAAAGCATTAACTTTTAACTTAAGTCAAAATTGTCAAGGCTCTAAGAATAAATTGAAGGGTTATACCAAATTACAGAACATTCCATAGAATCCTGAGGACAACCCTGAAATTTCAATCGGATTCAAAGTGTTGATTGCAAAAAAAAAAATACTGATAAGGACTCTTACATATTTGAAGTCCTGATATATTGTTAGTTTAATTTGGAGGGATTTCTGTCTAGAGGAAAGAAGT